CTCTGACACATGCCTCAGTGATCAGAGCTCTTACCTACACCATGGTTGTTGATGTCCCGTGCTTGACTGGAAGGGAAGACTCTACCTGTGTCGAAACTAACGGTGAATGCATTACAGGGACAATATAAACTCAATCTGCTCTGACCTATACAAGGTTGAGAGGGGTATTGCAAGCTGTTGTAGAAAATGTTTATGAAGAGGGTTTTTTTTTTGGCTTATCCCTGATATACTGTCTTAAAATAGCCAATGTTAGATAAAAACATACGTTTCTGATTTGCACAGTAAGTTTTAAATTGAAGAAAAAAAAAGTGACTTTGTAAAGCTTCAACATTTATGACAAGCACGACCTAGTAGTAGAATCATAGAATCGTTTAGGTTGGAAAAGACCCTTAAGATCATCGAGTCCAACAGTCAGGCTTTTACTAAGCGCACCACTGCAAACTACCAGAAGCGAAGTGGGATGGCCATGGCTACAGTCCTTGCACGCTTGCGTTCGTTCCCAGTGCCTCCAGCTGGGAGAGCACAAGTTCCTCTAAAGAAGAAATAAAAGCAGTGTAAGATCAGCAGCTTGTATCTGCTGCGGGACTGTAACTCCATAGCCCACCACGCTGTCACGGTTTCAGGTGCGATCAGCAGAGGGAAAGGCAGCACCGACATGATTTGAAGGGAAATACAAGTACTGTGTACGCCATGTGTCGGCGCAACCGTGAAGACATCTAGCAAGGGTCTGTTCAAACCCTTCACTTCCATCATGAAGATGTAGGAGACACAGCCCTTACATATGGCGTAACCATGAAGACATCTAGCAAGTGTCTGTTCAAACCCTTCACTTCCATCATGAAGATGTAGGAGACACAGCCCTTAAGAGAGAAATGGTGACAGCAAGCCTTCTGTGCTATTTGCCAAGGACTGAAGCGTGGGGCAAAAATGCGTTCAGTTGGATCGTGCCGCTTGGCACTGAACCAAGCAAAGGTTTTTGTGCACGTGCCGCTACCTAACTCTCTGAGATGCTCTTCCACGTAGACAGCCTGCTTCCTCTCCTGTCCCAGGCTGCTGCTTGGATGTGATTTGTGATAGCACATTGGCTAAGGCACACTCCTAAGTTCATTTGGGGGTGAAAAAAGGATGGAAAATATGGTCTCACCGGGTCTGTTTATGCTCTGTGGCCCCTTGCGCAGATATAAGAGGATCCTTTTGCTTTGCAAACGAGATTTGCATTTGTATCTCTAAAGCGGTCTACGTGCTATTTGTATGCAGCAATCTTTTGTTTCAAGGCCCTAACAGTCACCTGCTATGACAGGGTGTTCTTGCGTGAGAAACAGGTGTCTGAAGAATGGTGCAAGTAGAACTTCAGAAGTTACTTCTGAGGCTTTGACTACTGTCCCCAGAAGTACTTAATGGCTTGCAAAATGTTACAGAACAGCGTAACTTTATTGGAACGGTCGCTGCAGAGTTGTGAGAGATTTGCTTCATTGGCTGAAAGTAGATCAGTCTGTTTAGCTTTCAGATCAGTCTGTTTAGCTTTTTTCTGGCATAACTTGGAAATAATCTTCTAAGCTGTTTTTATCAAGAGTCAACCTTCTCATATCGTTATTTTATTACAGTCCAACTGGCGCTCCTCTTCTATCTTCCCTTCCTCCTTTTCTAAAATAAAATTAACCTTTTTTGTTAATGTACATGCAATATACACTCTCCATTAGAAGACAACCAGGTCAAAAGAGAAGCAACTCTGAATACTTAATATTTGTCAACTAATGCATATCTAGATAAAACAGTCTGATAACTAAAACTCATTTAAAATTTGGCTTCCAGACTAGGACTCAGGGAAGGAATTTTGGATGCCTTCTGTTCTCTTCTGAATCTTTGCCAATTTTGATGATGATATTTCCATAAAGTTGTATTTGTTTTCTTTAAGAACACACTTCTTCCCTGTTTTGCTTTAAAACCGTAAGGTATTATGTTTTCCTCTTTTGGAAATGGAAAAGAAAGAGGTAACGTCTTTCACTCCAAACGTCCCTCATACACATAACGCAAACGTGTTCGCCTCGATGTTAATATTTAAGGGAAAGGATGACACAGAGTCACACAGTAAAACCCAAGAATCTAAACAAGGAATCCAGTCGGCGACCTTTAAGCTTTGGACAGACCCTGGCAGCGCTGTTTTCTGTTCCGTGCCGGGAGCAGGGAGAATGCAGTTTTCCCCTAGAACAATGACAGTTTTGGTTGTACCCACCTTCTACAAACAAAAGATAAGAGCTACTCAACAACAAAATGCTAGTTTACTTCGGCTCCCTGCTTTTGGAGAGAACTAGCCGTTACTTGAGATAATCCTTTCAAGGAAAAGTCAATGTAGTTGATAACAAAACTTCCTTTAAGAGAATTCAAGCCAGGAACTCTTTTCTGTGTTCCGTCCCCTACGGTTGCGACGCAGCGTTTTGTTGAAGGCTTTGGCCAGAGTTAGGCTGTGATCTTTCCGTTTCTGAGCTCTCCTGAGTAGTTCTAGCTGCTTCAACTTTACAGATGTCTGGGTCATTTCTAATCCAAGTTTTCACTTACTAATTATAAACTGCCGAGAAGTAAGTGTCCTTAACTGAAGCGGGCACTTGAGCCAGTAACCAATAGGGAAAATAGCAATGAATATAAGGAAATGGGTACCATCCCACTCTCTCAGCCGATCATCTGGATTAAAAACCACTTCATATATGCTATTTCAACCTGTGTCTCCCAGGTTGACCAAACACAGCAAAGAACGTGCTGTTGGGGGAACGCAGGCGGAGATTCTCTCAGCTTTGCTCTCCCAAAAGGCTGGTGGTGAAGTAAAGGGGGAAAAGTCTTCCCAAGTGCTTGAAAAGGCGATTCCTCCGCATCAGATGGCCTGAAGCAGTTCAGTTTTTCTGAAGAGCCTCTTGGGGAGAAATCTACCGTTACCTTCAGAGCGTTTACATGGGAGGGGACGAGTCTGAACAGGCAAGCGGTTTCCTTTAGCAGTAGTTGTTGCCACGCAGGTGACAGGCGGAAGAAAATGCCTGGAACTCCCCGGCGTTCAAAGGCAGACTCACAAATTTATGAACCCATGGTTTGAAAGCGCACCAAACCCCCAAATCCCGCCCTGGGCAGGGCGCTAGGGGAGGAACCGAGCAGCCAGAGATGCTTTCGCCGCGGTATAAATCTAGAGCGGGATGAGGATGGGCTACATTCTGCTTTGCTCTAAACAGGGATGGGCTACATTCCGCTTTGCTCTAAACAGAAGCAGCGCGTGAACTCAGCGCCGTTTGAGCCTTGGCTGTGTTTATGGTCTAGGAGTCTGCCTCCCTGCCAGGCCAGCGCGCTATTCAGGCAGGGATGCGGTGCATGAATGGGAGCATTCATTGCCTTTCTCTTCTCATGCTTCTCTAAGCCTCGGGGTGTTGATCCTGTGCTGCTGCCCCTTACCCGGAGCGGAGGAAGAGGCTGCCTCTGTCCTCGTTCCCCTCTACTCCAGTTGCCTTGCAAAACAAAGCAAGATGCAAAGCAAGATTCAGCGCAGAGAGCGCTAATCTAAAATAAACTACCATTAGCCATAATAAAGTCCGGTCTATCTCCAGTTCACCAAACTATCTGCAACTGTGCAGAGAGTCCTGATAAGGCAGGCCTCACTCCAGCTCAGGGAAAAAAGAAAAAAAAGCCCTTGCACACACCAGATTTACTTCAGCCAGGTCATTTTCAAGGACCTGAGTATGTACTGCACAGAGAGTCCTTCCCACATCGTCTTAACCTGTTAGCTGCTCTTTAACGTAGCTGCTCTTCAATGTCAGATACGATCTAGGTTAAAAAGAAAAAAACAAAATACAAAACCTCTCTGTTCTGAACTCACATGTGACCACATCAAGGGCCTCGACTTACGCTGAGGATTATTAAGCCTGTTGGACAGGTTATAATGGCTGGCTTCCCCACAGGGCCTCGCAACATCACGACAGTAATTTTCTGCACACGGTTTTCTGATGTTTTCTCATGATCTTCTGGGTAAAGCAGACTATTCCTCTAGCCCCTTGTTTCCGAACAGCGGGACCCCCCGCTTCTGTTCAGCTAAATTCCACCCCCTGTTCCCTAGCAGAACAGCTGCTGCAAGGTTTCAACATTTGACGCTGAGGAAAAGGCTTCGGCGAGCGAGTCTCCTCCTGCGGCAGCGCGAGGAGCTGCTGGTGGCTTGGCCGGAGTCAGGCTGTGCAGTCCGCAGAGCGTTTCGACTTCTCTTTGAGCTTTCTTCTTTGTATATGTTTCCGTAGCCAGACTCATAGCTCTGTGTGTGTACGGATGACAGATGTGTTTATATTGCTTTATAGGTGGAGCAGTGTGTAGAATTACGTTTTGCCAGATGAATGCGAAATGCTGAAGTTGACTTTCAACACGCTTAGCTCCAACAAAATACCGTTTAAAAGTTGTTCCAACGTACAGAATTCCATTTTCCATGACAAAATCTTAAGTGCCTATTGTACTGCTGAAAGTAAGGTGCTTAAAATGAGAAAACAGGATATACTGAAAGTCAAATGCACTGTATCAGGAAAAGAGAGGGAAACTCTGTTCCTTCCCCTATTACTAATAGTAACACTTCTTTTTTTTTTCTTTTCCATATTTTTGAGCCTGACCCAGTGCAATTTTCCCAAGTGACAGTTTGCTCTCCGTGATATAAACCTGCTAAGGATTTTTGCACATAAGCTTTGAAGAAAGTACTTCTTAAGTCTATAAGCACTGTGCCTGTAGCCTGACACTTGTCACCTTTTTATTTATCTTAAGAAGTGAGCAACAATTGTCAAAAGGTGCACTACAGATTATAAGGACAGCTTTGACAAGCCCAGAGGAAAAATGATACTGGTTTAATGCTTTGGGGGTTTCGGAAGACTGTGGAACACAAACTGTCATGAAGCCAACTTAATATAACTGTTTCCTTTATACTCTAAGGATTCACAAGGGACTTCACTGCTAGCATACAGGAAATAAAGTCTGTTGTGCTAGAACAAGACTTTGTTTCTTACAATTTAGAAAACTACACAAAGTTTCCTTACAGGAAATGTTACAATTCATACAAATTCCCGTATTTATTTGTAGACGAAAATTGCCATTCACATAGCAGGAAAGCTAGATGAAAACAGAGACGGCGTAGACTTAGGGCCATTATGGGGTATTGGTGAACAGACCTCCATGATGGCAATAAATACAACTCCACAAAAATGTACTTAAATGTCAAGATATTTTTATTATTGTCTCCTTTTCCAGTACCAGCCTAATTTCTTAACAGGGATCCTTGAAAATAAATTGCTACATGAATGCATTTCTTCAGTGAGGAGCTTGCAGAATTTATTTTAGGTAAAGCGTGTCTTCCGTCGTTATACTATTCGACCAAGATACACTGACTTGGGATATTTTTCCTTTAGATCAGGCCACTGAACAATGAAGTGATCTGAAAAGTAGTAAAGAATCTTTCCAGACAAGGATAAAGTTTCCACGCGGCAGATGCTCTCTACATACACAATGGTTGCTCTCTTTATTCCTACAAGCGCAAGAAGAAGAGCAGATATACAGATAGGAATACATGTTCCTGGTCCATTGCACAATATCTAAAAGAGATGAAACATTTCACAAAAGTAAAACGTGAGTTTTATTCATACGGTAAAGAATTAAAAGTGTGTATATTCATATAACATTACATTTACAAAAAAAAAAAAAATTATTTCCAAAGATAAAAACCAGAAGAGGCAAGTGAATATGAAAAAAAAAAAAGGGTAGGGAATGGGGCAAACAAAAGACATTGTTTCAAAGTAGCTACCAAAAAAGATCATCTTTCTTTACATGTCAAGGAGGAGAAGAGCTCTGAGATGGCACAGTTAATTTCAATGAAGGAAGCAGAATTCCTTGACTCATGGGTATATAACTAAAACAGCTTCCAAGCTCAGTCACAGCTTTGTGTTGTATCAACCATGAGATTTGTGCACAGATTAAGGCATAATAAGGCCAAAGAAGTTTAATTAGGATTACTAAGCCTGGGATCCAGTTATAAACCTCTTGAACTTCGGTCTTAAGTTACATGCTGTATGCTGTTTTAATCTTGAAATTTTAGGGTATCAACAGCCACAAACTTAAGTCAGCAAAACACTTAAGAGCTCAGCAAAAATGTGCTGATGAATTAAGACCTTCACCAGAATCTACTAGCTGATACGCATGACTGGATTTTTTTTTTTCTCCTTTCAATAAACACTAGTACATAGAAACAAGCATAGAGAAGGAAGGTGTTTTGGTAAATACATGTCATGTCCTTGTAGCAGAGGATCTCAAATTCACTTATAAATGTTAACAGCAAAAGGAAGTGCTCTTCCAATTTTAGACATTGGCAAACTGAAAAACAGATTGCTTAAAAGTAAAAGGTTTAAACCAGGGTATGTTAGGCACTCTACTTGGGTATCAAAATTGATTTCAGGCAAGGAATTTCTTACTAAATTTAACTACTGCCATGTAATCGGCACTTTTCTGCACAGCTGGGGGTTACGTGGAAATAAAGAGTTCTTTTATAAAATCATGGCCCTATATCCTATAAACTCACATTTTTTTGTTCCAAGTTCACCAGCTTGTGAAAGATATTATATTGGTGGGGGGGAAAAAATATCAGAGTTTCTGTTTTGAGGCTGTAGCAAGCATTTCAGAATGTTTCCTTCCCTGCTTCGTGGCACGATCCCACTGATAAACTGGCTAACAGCACCTTGCCTCAGTTAAAAGCAGCAGCAGCTTTGGTGCTATTGAGTTCCCAACTCTCTCCCCTATACTTTTATTTGCCTGTAAGATGGCCCCAGAAATCTAGCTTGGGGATGTGATGCCCAAAACGCAGTGTTTTCTTATCAGAATCAGCAGAATGTAATACTGTATGCAAAATTATTCTGATTTTATTGTTGATCTTGAACTATTTATTCATGACTTGCTGACATTTTCTGAAAGACCCTTACAAGCAACATGCTGTATGCTGTTTTAATCTTGAAATTTTAGGGTATCAACAGCCACAAATACTCGTATAAGGAGCATTACACTGCAACAAGAAGAATTACACTGCAACAGTGTCATTCTTTTATATTAGCAGTCACATAGCTAAGAAGCAAAGAAGCGGAACACATCAACTTTGCGTACTAGATTTTTGAACTCAGAGCGCTATACTACGGTTTCAAACCTCCTGCTGAACCTGATTTCAAGTAAATCCATGCTGGGACTTAAAAACCTACTCTACGATCTGCTGAGAATGAAGATCTGGTTTTTATACATTTGGCTCGGCAAGCGAGGACGTAAGCCAACCACACATGCTGCCTTTTAGCACTTCAAAGAAACTTTTCCATACCTGTGAACTACACCGGGCATTTTGCCCTCTTTCTTGACAAGTTTCATTAATTTGCACTGACGGTGATTGTGCTACTGGTACGTGGCTACGGATATCTAAATTAAGGCATGTTTAGGTATCTCTATTTGTAATAACGTTTCTTACTGTTGTGTAAACATAGGCATAGGAAACAACTTGGAGTGTTCTCCTGTGTTTGCAGGCAAAACCCACCAGTGTCCCTGCTGCAGAATCTGGTCCGTTTCAGACAAGTGCATAAGAAGCAGTCCAAAACAGTCCAAAAAAAGTGATTTACTACTTTTTTTTCTGAGTCGAATATTCAGTCTGACTACTAATTTCACATTCAAAATTCAGCTTTAAGCGAACACCGAAAAACGTGCACCACTTCTAAACAGAAACTCCACTTTCCCTTCCCTTGAGTAGAGCTACCCGGAGTACAAATATTGTACTCTTCATTGCTCCCCAAGCCCTTTTTCTGCTGCATTACAGTCCTCTCCCCTGTCCTGTCCTCAGCGTCTTCCATTTCGATGTCTCTCTGTACTCTACCCAGCCCTCTGAGATGTCTCCCACCCATCCTCTCTTCCCTGGTTTTCTTCGTGATCTCCGGTATTCATCTCCCCCTGCATCCCTATTCCCAGGCGCCCTTCCACGTGTCTTCCTTCTGGACCCGTACTGGCTCTGCGCTCTTTTAGCCTCCAACTACTATGAAAGCTCAGCCCAGTTGTCTAAAGCAAGGAGAGAGTTTCACATCAGTCCCTTACATTCCACAGCCTGACACAAAAACCCACCGATCGCAGATATGATTGAGGTCAGGTAGACATCCTATCCTAACATTCTCCTCAGCCCGGAGGTTGAGAATGGTAGAACAGGTTTTATAAAAAGCTGAATTATTACAGTCATGGTCTTTATCAAGCCACGGTGCCATACACTTCACCCTGCTTCCCCCCTTTATTAAACTTGGCTAGCAGCTCCAGTCTTTTTGGCATTTGGTATTCTTGTGTCTAGATGCACACACAAAGGCAAATGCTAGAATGAATTCCAAACTAAGAGTATTCACAAAAGATGACGTAATGAAATAATAGTAAATGGGCCTATTTGTGACTCTATATGAAGCTCTAAAGGCCACACAGAGTTGCTGTTATTACTTTGCTGAGGTGCAAACCAGAAAAGCAATAATCAAAATTAAAATCGTAATAAAATACCTTTACTGTAGCCAGGTTTTGATACAATGCGCTCAATTTATACCTTCTACTGACTATTCATAACTTGTAAGCTGCTTCTCAGATGCCCTTTGATTCATGGAAAAGTACTTGCATGCAGGAAAAAGGATCAGGAAAATTATGGACTAGGCATCTCCAAAAAGCACGATCTGATCATAACTCATGTCCTCTGCTCTTTCCCCTTCCACATGAACCAGTTCAAACAAGACAAAGCAGATGTGGCTCTACAACATCTCTGTATGCAAAATGGCCATAAAATATTCGGACTATAGATGCTCCTATTCTAAAATGCTTGGGTTTAGGAATTGTCCTCTGAAAGAGACTCTGGTATAAACCTGCTGAAGCCAACAGACAAATAGATCGCTATCTGCATTTGGGGTCGTGATCTGTAAGCGAGAACTATTAATCAACCTTTCTGATCATTAAAAATTAACCTTCGTTTAACCTTCAGTGCGTGTCTAGAGACATGTCGTACCTACAACTGGGGCAGTTGCTCACGCGTTGGAGTGGCAATTCCCCTCCAAAAATGTGGTCTGACCAGTCCTACTCACTCCCTCTGACACCGTCAGCAGGAATCCTGCTGCTTGGAATCCAACGTCATACACTCACCAAGGGATACGGGGGAAACTTCTCAGAAAACAAGTAGGCACGTTGTAAAGAAGAGGAGGTGTTGTGGAATCTGTAGGCTAGAAATGCTGCTGTTCAGCTCCTGCCAGTACACGAACTTGCTGATGGCGGAAAGGAACCGAATCATTGACAGCCTGCCTTAAACGTGTAGGAGGAGACGAGCTGTCCTACTAGTGAATTTCAAAACACTGTTCAAAAGTAAATTTTGGAGAAGGATTGATGTCTTCCACCTTAAAAAGGCCAAGGCTTTTGTTTTTCCCCTCCAGCAGAATACAAGTATCTCTCGGGGAATCCAGCAGCAATCATTAGTGTGCCGTGGAGAAGAAGCAGGCATCTATTGGGCAAGAAAGGCCCAGGGCCTCTACAAGGTCAGGGTAAGTGTTTCCCAATATCTATTTACATTAGCTACAAGGCTGCCTGAAGAATATTTGCGTTGCATGAGACACGTCTCCGAAGATCTCTAGTTTATTTGGTTCAGCCTTCCTCGGTGAGGCAGCAGAAAGGGGGAAAGAAGGGGCCAAAGACAATTTTTGTGTCACCTTTGCGACCTCTTGAGCTGCAACTGCCCAAGGACTTTCTTGGTCCCTGGCCTATCCGACTTTGCTGCCAACAAGCTGGAAGCGATCGTGCCAGAAGGCAGTGCTGCAGGTCTCGCTACACCATTTCCATTTGCCTCTAATGCAAAGAAATGTCCAGCTGACTGTTGAAATGGATCACCGGCTGCCTGGCTTCACAGCTAGGCCTATAAACTAAATCCTACGTACTAAAATCCTCTACCAACTCAACGTAACCAGACTTTTAGACAGTACAATAAACTAATCAATCTATACATTAAGGGAAGTTTAAAAGTAAAGGATCAGAATTCACCATTCATACTTAGCAACTCCGTAACTAATTTCATATGAATCTCTTTTCATATGAAAATGGAATAGTTCTTGCCTTTCTACAGCTGTTGAAAGAAAACAAGCTAAGCCAGCAGTCTGGCACTCTGGGAACACTGGCACATGGCACCACTGCTGATAAAAGCTGCTTTAGAGCTGGTGAATGCAGCACTGTAGCAGAGTGACATTTACCAGCTAAAACACTCCAAGTGTAGCTCACAGCTTCACTGGGATTAAATGTCAGGCCACCGGTTAAAACAAAAATGAGTAAAGCAGAAAACTTCCAGTTTTTCTCAGAAGTATGTAGACATACATTGGCTGTATACCTTTAATGAACAAGTGTTTGAGTGCTGCTTATGTTCCCAAATTATAACAATCAAAGGGAGGACAACAACTTTTGTAGAAAGTGGAAAACTAATGTGAGATTTGCTTTGCATAAGAAATTGTCAACACCTGCTGATCTCCTTAATGACTTCCACAGAGATTGGCCTTTGCCACCTGGGCAAGAGCAGAAA